CCCATGTGGGAGACCCGAAGGAAGCTCTGGCTCCTGGCTTCTGGCTTCAGATCAACACAGTTCTGGCCGTTGTGGCCATCTGAGGAGTGAACCAGCGGATGGAAGACCTCTCTCTCTCTGTCTCTACCACTCTCTGTAACTCTGTCTGTCAAATCAATAAAATAATTCTTTAAAAAAAAAAGAAAAAGAAAATATTATAACTTAACAAATGAAATGTAAGAGCTCACTGGTTGAGCTTAACGTAGCTTAGAGACAAGTGAAAAAAGAATCAGTGTGCTTGAAATATGTCAGAAGAAAATATTCAGAATAAAAAAAAATAATAGATTCATTTAAAAACTTATTAATCTGTTCAAAATAAAGCTTAAAAAGTTATACCTCAGAACAAATAGAAGCAGGGAATAAGATGGCAATGAAATACAACTATATATAAGTAACCATAATGAATCAAGTGTTGATTGTGTAGATATTCTAAGTTTTAAAAGTAGATTGTCAAAATGAACACAACCCAACTATATGATGCTTATAGAAGTCACACAATAGTTGAATTTAAAAGGATAAAGAAACAATATTCACTGAAGCCCACATTAATTAAGGTAAGAAAGACACATTAGTATCATAAAAAGTAGAATTTAAGGCAAAAAACTAAATGGAAATAAACAGGACCTTTTCATGGTACCAAAATACTTAAATTTCCAGGAAAATAAGCCAAGTTAACATGTTTACACATATGATGATATAGTCTGAAAATGTACAAAGTAAAAATTTAATTGGCCAGTGCTGTGGTGTAGCGGGTAAAGCCACCGCCTAGAGTGCCAGCATCCCATATGGGCTCTGGTTCGAGTTCTGGCCGCTCCACTTCTGACCCAGCTCTCTGCTGTGGCCTGGGAAAGCAGTAGAAGATGGCCCAAGTCCTTGGGCCGCTGCATCCATGTGGGAGACCCAGAGGAAGCTCCTGGCTCCTGGCTTTAGATCAGTGCAGCTCCGGCTGTTGCAGCCAGATGGGGAGTGAACCAGCAGATGGAAGACCTCTCTCTCTCTGACTCTCCTCCTTTCTCTGTGTAACTCTGACTTTCAAATAAAATAAATAAATCTTTAAAAAATTTAATGAAAAAGACAAATCCACAATTTTATTGCATGTTTTAGTATACTTGTCTCAGTAGCTGAAAGAACAGTAGATCACAATGACAAAAATTAATCACCATGATTAATGTACATCTGTGGAACACTGTGCCTCACCTAAAGAAAGCAAATTATTTTCAAATAGATAAGCATTTTTTAAGAGATCATAGCCTTAGTGGTAAAGCAAGTCTCACCACATTTAATAACTTATCAAAATGTGTACAACACTTTACTTAAAGGCAGAGTTACATTGAAATACAGAGCTCTAAAATACATTAAGTAGGAAGGGAAAACAATGGTTCAAGTTCAGTTATGTCAAGAATCATCTCACAATAGGTAATATTAAAATATCCACCCTTGCTTTTAAAAAATAGTATGAGTGTACAAATATATGTGCATATTATAATGTTTACATATGAAGCAAATAGAACAAAATATTAAACATTATAGTATCGATGAAGCCTTATTGAACACTTCTTTAAACTTTCCTATATTATTTGAATTATTTTAATATAAAAGACTCCCCCAAAAAGAACCTAGAGAAAAAATAACAATAAAAAACACAAAGAAAATAGAAGGAAGAAAATAATAATTATAAGAATAGGGCTGGCGCCGCGGCTCACTAGGCTAATCCTTCGCCTTGCGGCACCGGCAACCGGGTTCTAGTCCCAGTCAGGGTGCCGGATTCTGTCCCGGTTGCCCCTCTTCCAGGCCAGCTCTCTGCTGTGGCCAGGGAGTGCAGTGGAGGATGGCCCAGGTGCTTGGGCCCTGCACCCCATGGGAGACCAGGATAAGCACCTGGCTCCTGCCATCGGATCAGTGCGGTGCGCCGGCTGCAGCGCGCCAGCCACGGCAGCCATTGGAGGGTGAACCAATGGCAAAAGAAAGACCTTTCTCTCTGTCTCTCTCTCTCACTGTCCACTATGCCTGCCAAAAAAATAAAAATAAAAAATAAAAAAAAAAAGAGGCAAAAAAAAAGAATAGAAAGTAGTCAATTAGAACATACAACAGAGGGCTGGCGCCGCGGCTCAACAGGCTAATCCTCTGCCTTGAGGTGCCGGCACACCGGGTTCTAGTCCCGGTCGGGGCACCGGATTCTGTCCCGGTTGCCCCTCTTCCAGGCCAGCTCTCTGCTATGGCCCAGGAGTGCAGTGGAAGATGGCCCAAGTACTTGGGCCCTGCACCCCATGGGAGACCAGGAGAAGCACCTGGCTTCTGCCTTTGGATCAGCACGGTGCACTGGCCTCAGCACGCCAGCTACGGCGGCCATTGGAGGGTGAACCAACGGCAAAGGAATACCTTTCTCTCTGTCTCTCTCTCTCACTGTCCACTATGCCTGTCAAAAAAAAAAAAAAAAACAACCATACAACAGAGTCAATCAGTAGATGAAATTGTGGTTTTTTTTTTTTAATGTAAAGGCATAGCAATAGAAACCCGAAAGAATGAAACCTCATGAAGATCAAAGAAAAAAAAATGAAGAATTAGTCATCTGTGGACTCAAGGTTTCCAACACACATATAATTGAAGTTCCAGAAGAAGAACTGAGAAATACAAAAAGGAATAAAAGAAGTATTTCTCTAAGGTGATATAAAACCATAAACCCATAGATTCAGGAAGCCCAGTGAGCACCAACTGGAAGAAACAGGAAGGAAACCACACCAAAGCACATCATAATCAAATCATGGAAAGCTGAAGATGAAGGGAAAATTTTAAAAGAAACTGTTGGGGAAAATGACGTATTAAGTAGATCTGAACAAAGACACAACCAACAGCAGAGTCTCCTCAGAAACAATGCATGTCAGAAAAAATGGAGCAGCTTCATTAGCGTGGGAGGTGAAAAGCATGTCACCATAGAATTCTAAAAATATTTTCTGCAGACATTGAAAAGCTGGGAAAACTCATTATCAATAAGACATTCAAGAAGTGAAAAATATGCCAGATGGAAATTTGAATCTAAATAAAGGTATGAAGATACTGAACATGGCAAAAATATGAGGAAATATAAATGATTTTATACCATGTCAGTCAAACAACAATGGTTAAAATGTTTGTAAAAATAAAAGGTATGAAAATCATACAAACACTAAAATAGGAAAAAGGTAAGGTTAGTATCATAAGAGCAACCATGCAGATATGATAAATCTTAAAAATAATCCAAATGAAGGCAATAAGAGAAGTAAAAAGAACAAAGAGCAGATGGGAAATTTAAGAAAACACCAACAAATATTATCTATTTAGAGCCAATTATAATCTCAGAAAATAAAATGGTTTAAAACATTTCTATTATTAAAGTGATATTGTGAGATTAAAAAGGATGACTCAAGTATATGCAGTATTCATGAAACCCACTTTAAATATAAACTGGTTGTGATAAGAGGGCAGAAGTATATTTTGCAAAAGCTAATTAAAATAAAGATGAGGAGCAGGCAGGTAGCCTAGCAGTTAAGATGCCTACAGCACACATCAGAGTGCCTGGGTTCAATTCCTGCCTCTGGCTTCTGGCTCCTGGCTGCAGGTTCCTGCCAACGCTTTGGTAAGGCTCAAGTAATTGGATTCCTGCTACTCATCTGGGAGACCTGGATTGAGTTCATAGATCCTGGCTCTGGCCTCAGGTCAACCAGTCATTTGTCATTTGCGGAATGAGCCAGTGTGTAAGAGCTCTGTCTCTGTCTCTCTCGTAAAGCTAATTTTCTAGTTAAGAAATGTCTAGATAAAAATAGATTTTAAATAATAATAAATGAATCAAGATAAGCACATGCCAGGTATTAGAGGCATGTATGCATCACATTGAAATTTTGAAGCTTTCTCAGTGAAATAACCAAGTAAGCAGAAAGCTGAAAAAAACCATTAAATATTTTGTCATAACATGTTATAGAATCTTCTATACAATGCTATGATCCCACATTTTAGAAAATGTTAATATATCTGAGTGCTCAGTGAGCTTCAATGCATATTGATTGTGTGTGTGTGTGTGTGAATTGTACCATTTGTCTGTGTCATTTTCACTTATTTGGGGACTTAATCATAACTTTTCTTATATTAGTTCATATAGACAGATACAAGAGGAATCTTCAAGATAATAATATCTTAGTTATATATCATAATTTGACAAAAATGAATAATCTCATACCCAATCTTAAGTATTTTCGAGATTTGCAGAATTTTGTTTTCAAAGTAACAGTTTATTCTCATGTGAAGGCTCTTAGAACATATGATATAATACATTTTTGATGTATGTTATATTTTTTTCAAGATCCATCCATGTCTTAATGCATAGTTATATTTATGTTGTATTTTAGGTTCCTTTAAAATTATCATGTACTTCGAAAGCTGAAACCAAATTCAAATAAAGGATAGACAGAAAGTTGTGTCTGACATAGCCTTTAACTTTTTTCATTCTCAATCAATTCTATCAGCAAGAAAGGTTATGACCTGTTATTGATAAGGGGAACAAAGGATTTTGATTTTCTTTTTATTCTAATCCTCTAAATCTAATAATTATTTTAACTGTGTTTCCAAATGTAACATTTTGCCATGTTCACGTTGGAATGAATTTTACAAGCTTTGCATTTGGGGCAGCTTAGTAGAAGGAAGAACCAGCTATTTTAGTGAAAGAAGATGAGATTTGGAACCAACAGATCTGATTTACAGTCTTGGTCCCTCCTTGAGAAAGTAATTTCATTTCTCTCGCCTAATATTTGCAGATCAGTTGTTCCCTACTCTAAAATTTCGTCTAAGTGTAAAGCCTCATGATATTATAATTTGAAGAAAAATGAATCAGAAATGAACTATCTATATCCACTTACCACCTAAAACAACTATGAGAGCAAATTTTGTATTTGATATTTAATTTTAATGGTTTTTTTTTCTTTACTTTAAAGCTGAGAATCAGAGTTCAAGCAAGACAACAGAAATAATAGGTAAGTCTTTTTGCTTTTCCCTGAGTATAGTCATGGGTAAAATACCCCAAATGAGGCAAAGTAGGTCAACCAGTTTGAGGACACGGCAAAATGATTTGAAAGTAAGTATTCAATGACAACTAAAAATGTTTAGGAGAGCTTGGGTGAAAAAAAGAACATACAAGGACATGCCTGAATGCTGTGAGTGAGGTGAGTGAAGCCACCCTAGAGCATGTTTAATGCCTGTGGGATTGTCCCCTGCCCAGAACTCTGTGTTCTGGGCTGTTATTGTCAGTGTACCCACTGCTGTTCCCAGAAGTACAGAGTGTCTTCTCTGTATTTGGTAACCAAGTCTGGTCCTGGCATCCAAAAAGATGATGGTATAAACCACAGTTAGCAGTCTTCAGTGTTATCATTCCAAGAAGTGTTTGTGTTTCTGCCATTCCTTAGCTTTAAACCAAATGAATTCTGGATGGCAGAGTGAAAGAGATTAGAGAAGACCGGTGGGTGAGTCCGGTGGAGGATGGGGATAGCAAGGTTGACTTTTCCTGTAGTTTTGAAACCAAAATTAAATATTTCTGCCTGATGTGTATAGCAATGTTAAAACTCAGAGGTTTCAGGGCTGGGGCCGTGGCTCACTTGGTTAGTCCTTTGCCCGCAGCGCCGGCATTCCATATGGGTGCCGGGTTCTAGTCCCGGTTGCTCCTCTTCCAGGCCAGCTCTCTGCTGTGGCCCGGGAAGGCAGTGGAGGATGGCCCAGGTGCTTGGGCCCTGCACCCACATGGGAGACCAGAAGAAGCACCTGGCTCCTGGCTTCGGATAGGTGCAGCGCACCAGCTATAGCAGCCATTTTGAGAGTGAACCAATGGAGGGAAGATCTTTCTCTCTGTCTCTCTCTCACTGTCTATAACTGTCAAATAAAAATAAATAAATAAATAAAAACTCAGAGGTTCCAATCCTGGTTACCTTTGGTACAAATCAAATAAAAATGTGAAATAAACTTAGAAATTTTGGAAAATTAAAAAAAAATAAAAACTATGAGTAACTCTAACATCATTTTCACAGCAAGTGTCCCAAATAGTTAGTATCTTAGTCTACCTTCTACCTCTTGTATTATTATATTTCTCACTTTCAATCTTTAACTTCTGCAAGATAATTTCTTTATCTAATAAAGAGTTACTTGTATATTCTCTGTTTTACCACATAACTTTTTTAAATTATTATTTCTATCTTCGTAGTCAAAAAATGGGTATACACAAGCTAGGCAAGACAAAGGCCGTGCATTTAGGCCAAGAGAGCTGACGCTGTCCTGGAGGAGTGCTTCCTCTCTGGTCCGCTGACTGGCTGTTGAGGAAAAGTCAAATATACATAATATAGAGGCAAAGTGGGAAGCTGCCAAGCATTCGGTTTCTTTTAAGAAAGGACTGAAGTAGCCTTCAAGTTGTTTACAAGAATTGTCTTTAACCATGTTATCTATAGTGTATTTTAAAGGGAACTCAACACCCATCTAGGGTATTTTAATTTTGTTTACATAGTTATGTAAACTAGTTAATTTAAGTAGTTATGTAAACTAGTTCTGAAACAGTTAAGGCAAAAACCATTGATTTGAATACTGAACTAAAAAGAAATGAGACTAGTTCGACAAGCTACAAGAAAGATCAGTCTCATTTCTTTACTTTCAAACTTCAGATGAATTTTGTCTTTAAAGAATAAAGCCAAGGTTGGATATTTAGCATTAAGGTTAAGATGATGCTTGGAATGCCCTCTTCCCATATTTACATGCCTGGATTGGAGTCCTGGCTCCTTCGCTTCTGATCCAGCTGCCTGCTAATGCACACCTTGTGGTGTAGCAGGTGATGTCTCAAATGTGTGAGTCTCTCTCACCCACATGAGACTCTGATTAGGTTGTGGGGTTCTAGCTTTGGTCTGGCCTACCCCTGGCAGTTGCAGGCATTTCAGAAGTGAACCAGTGGGAGGAAGATTGTGCGTGTGTGTCCATGTTGTGTCTGTGTCTCTCTGCCTTTAAAATAAAATGAAAATGAATTAAAAAATTGTTTGAAATAAAAGCTACATTCAAATGCTTAACAAATTTATTAGCAGATATTTTTATACATCTGTTAACAACTCTAATCATTTGATTTTTTTTTTCAAATGGAAGACTTCTTTGTGCCTTTATATATTGAATATTTGTCATCAAAAATGTGAAGATAACAAATTTGTGAAGTATACATCCATAGGATCAAGGATAGGCAAACAACTAAAAATGATTACTATTTCTCTTTTAGTTCTTTCACTTACTGTCATACATGTTACTTTATCTCTCTGAATCACAGTGTCTTTAAAGCACAGGGTTACAAATATTTGCTTAACAGCAAAATGAATTAGCGTATATGTAAGTAATGAGCATGTTGCCTCTTTCCTTCTTTGTATATTGTTTATAATTTTCTGAAAATTAATAACTATCCAAATCAAAAACAAAAAATACATCTTCTTTCTTCAACATGGATTTCTATGGAGTTACCAAAAGATAATAAATTTCCATTCACAGTTATTACTAGTTTAGGGAATGCAATTACCTGAAGCTAGTCACATTAGTGACCCAAAAGAAAATTAGGAAAATTTGAGATAAAACTTTTTTGCTTTGCTGTAGAAGTCCAATTAAATCTGAAGGCAGTGGAAATTATGTTAGAACCCCCGCCCCTTTGATATTTTGCTCATAAAGGGAAAGGGAATGCCATTCTGGGTGGTCATGCATACTAGTTATGAAAAATAAAGAACCTGACAAGACTCTAACAATCTTAAAATTCGAGTAGATGTTTGGCCTTGTGGTTATGACTGTGTCCTTCACTGGAATATCTAGATTTGATACCCACTTCTCTCCTGTTAAAGCAGACCCTGGGAGGTAACAATAAGCTCAAATAGTTGGGCTACTGTGAGGCCTGGATTGAGTTTCCATCTCCCAGCTTCAGCCTGGCCCAGGTCTGGCTCTTGTGGGTTTTTGAGGAGTGATCATGTGGATGAGAGCACTCTCTTCTCTTTCCCAAATAAATAAATAAAATATTTTAAAACATAAAAAACAATTTTAAAGCTAGTAAATTCTCTTGAGAAAGAGGGGGCTTTTGGCACAGCAATTATGATGACTGCATCCCATATCAAGTGCCTGGATTCAAGTCCCAGCTCCTCCACTTCTAATGCAGCTTCCTGCTAATGTGCACCTGGGAGGCAGCAGATAACTCAAGCACTTGTGTCCCTGTCAGCCACATGGAAGACACTGATTGAGTTCCATAATGTGGCTTTGGCAGGTGTTCAAAGCATTTGGGAGTGAACCAGGGATTGGAAATGAATCTCTCTCTCTTCCTCTCTCTCTCTTTCTCCCTCTTTCTCTCTCTGAATCTGTACCCCAACTTCCAAATAAAATAAATACAACTTATACATAAAAAAGAAGGCAAGGGTTGTTTTAGCACATTTCTCTTCTCAAACACAGAATTGCACAGGATAGTTAGTATCTTAGGATACCTTCTACCTCTTGTTCAAGGAATTTGAAATGAATTATTAGGCCGGTGCCGCGGCTCACTAGGCTAATCCTCTGCCTTGCGGCACCGGCACACCGGGTTCTAGTCCTGGTCGGGCGCCGGATTCTGTCCCAGTTGCCCCTCTTCCAGGCCAACTCTCTGCTGTGGCCAGGGAGTGCAGTGGAGGATGGCCCAAGTCCTTGGGCCCTGCACCCCATGGGAGAACAGGATAAGTACCTGACTCCTGCCATCGGATCAGCGCGGTGCGCCGGCTGTAGCGGGCTGGCCGCGGCAGCCGTTGGAGGGTGAAGCAATGGCAAAAAGGAAGACCATTCTCTCTGTCTCTCTCTCTCACTGTCCATTCTGCCTGTCAAAAAATAAAAAAAAAGAAATGAATTATTATACTTTTCACTTTTTTTAACTTTTATTTAATGAATATAAATTTCCAAAGTACAGAATATGGATTACAATGGCTTCCCCCCCCCATAACGTCCCTCCAACCCGCAACCCTCCCCTTAACCACTCCCTCTCCCCTTCCATTCATGTCAAGATTCATTTTCGATTCTCTTTATATACAGAAGATCAGTTTAGCATACATTAAGTAAAGATTTCAACAGTTTGCTCCCACACAGAAACATAAAGTGAAAAATACTGTCTGAGTACTAGTATAGCATTAAATCTCAATGTACAGCGCACTAAGGACAAAGATCCTACATGAGGAGTGAGTGCACAGTGACTCCTGTTGTTGACTTAACAAATTGACACTCTTGTTTATGGCATCAGTAATCACCCTAGGCTCTTGTCATGAGCTGCCAAGGCTATGGAAGCCCCCTGAGTTCACTGACTCTGATCATATTTAGACAGGCCATGGTCAAAGTGGAAGTTCTCTCCTCCCTTCAGAGAAAGGTACCTCCTTCTTTGATGACCCATTCTTTCCACTGGGATCTCACTCGCGGAGATCTTTCATTTAGGTTTTTTTTTTCCCCAGAGTGTCTTGGTTTTCCATGCCTGAAATACTCTCATGGGCATTTCAGCCGGATCCACATGCCTTAAGGGCTGATTATGAGGCCAAAGGGCTGTTTAGGACATTTACCATTCTATGGGTCTGCTGTGTATCTCACTTCCCATGTTGGATCATTCTCTCCCTTTTTGATTCTATCAGCTAGTATTTGCAGACACTATTCTTGTTTCTGTGATCCCTTTGGTTCTTAGTCCTATCATTATGATCAATTGTGAACAGAAATTGATCACTGGGACTAGTGAGATGGCATTGGTACATGCCACCTCGATGGGATTGAATTCGAATCCCCTGGTATGTTTCTAACTCTACTGTTTGAGGTAAGTCAGCTTGAGCATGTCCCAAATTGCACATCTCTTCTCTCTCTTATTCCCACTCTTATATTTAACAGCCATCACTTTTCAGTTAAGTTTCAGCACTTAAGAAGAATTGTGTATTGATTACAGTATTCAACCAAAAGTATTAAGTAGAACAAACAAAAAAAAATACTA